TTGTTAAGTGCCTTTAGGCCTGGTACTACTGGCAGCTGGCCTTGGTTCACAGCTTTACCTTTCACAGACACCTCCAATCTAGCGCAAATAACAGACATCTGTAGAACATTCTGTAACTCATGATGGGAGGCCTAGGGAGGGTACAGACGGCAGCTGACCTTGGCCTGAACTCCCCAGAAGGTCTTAGAGCTAGTGCACCTGGTGGGCAGCTTTGGCCCATGCTGAAGTACCATGCAACCACATCCAAGAGCTGCACATACAAGGTGTGGACTCAGCAGAGCCGTGTTGAACCAAGTCCTGCTCTGTGGGCTTGGCCCCTGCATAGTAGATCCCCCACATGATTGCAGCCAGTCCTCACAAAGGATAAGCCAAGGGATAAATTCCTCTCATATGTGCGAACAACAATCAAAGCTCAACTACAAGAGAAGAGTGAGCCTACATGGGGCTCACCTCATAATCAGCTCTGGTATCCCAGAAGGCTCTGCCACTGGGCATTAGAGAACACATATTCTATAAGGCCATTTTACCAAAACCAGGAGATATAGCAGTTCTTCCTAATATATAGAAACAAACACAGGGAAGCAGCCAAAATAATGAAACTAAAAAAGAAAGAAAAGAAAAAAAGCCCCAAATGAAAACAGAACACAATTCCAGAGAAAGAAATAAATAAAATGAGACAAGCAATCTACCAGTGCAGAGTTCAAAAGGATGCTCAATGAACTTAGGGTAACAGTAGATAAACTTAGAACTTTAACCAAGAGTTAGTAAACATGAAAATAGAGACAGAAAATATACGAAAGAACCAGTCAGAAATGAAGAATACAATAACTGAAATGAAGAATACATTAAAGGGAATCAACAGTAGAATATATGAAGCAGAGAATCAAATCAGATATTTGAGAGATATAAAATCAGAAAAAATCCAATTAGATCAGCAAAAAGAAAAAAGAATCCAAAAACTGAGAAGATTGCAAAGAGCCTTTGGTTCAATCTCAAGTGTACCAACATTCATATCATAGGGGTGTGGGAAGGATAAGAGAGAAAGCAAGGAATTGCAAATATCTTACCCAATAAAAGAGTAATATGCAAATTAACCATCACTCTGCTACTCCCACTAGCCACGCCCACCAGTCAATTAGTGTGAGTATGCAAATTAATCTCAACCAAGATGGTTGCTGCCACAGAGAGCAGGAGGGAAGCTTGGGTTTCCCCAGCAATAGAGGAAGCCAAGCTTTCCGCACACCCTGGCTGGCTGAGGCCTCCACTCAAGGATACAAAGTTTCAATTATAGAAGGTAAACAAATCCAAACAAAAATGGTGACAGCCACAGAGCTGGAGAGAGCAGGCTAGGGTTGCCCCTGGCGACTGAGGAAGCCAAGCTTTTAACTTGCCCTGGCCAGCTCAGGCCTTCACTCCAGGCTACAAAGTTTGAATTATAGAAGGTGAATAAACACCACAGAGCAAGCAGAAGGCTTGGCTCCGCTTCAGGCTACAAAGTTTCAATTGTAAAGATAAATATATTTCAGATACCAGGGCCTCAGCTTGGGTCACCGGGGGGGATGGCCAGCCTGAAAACCACCACAGGCCCCTCTCCCAGGCTTCCCCACGCCCTAAGGAAACCCCCATCCTGATCCAGGACATCCTTCAGGTGGCCCCCACCCATGCACCAAGCCTCTATCCTATCTAATAAAAGAGTAATATGCAGATTGACCATCACTCCAACACACAAGATCAAGATAGCTGTCCCCATGTTGACACAAGATGACCATCACAAGATGGTCAGCAGGGGAGGGCATTGGGAGGGATCAGGCCTACAACGGAGGGCAGTTGGGGGCAATCAAGCCTGCAGGGGAGGACAGTTAGGGGTGACCAGGTCGGCAGTGGAGGGAGGTTGAGGGCAAACAGGCTGGCAGGGGAGCAGTTAGACATCAATCAGGCTGGCAAGGGAGTGTTTACGGGGTGATCAGGCTGGCAGGCAGAAGTGGTTAGGGGCAATCAGGAAGGCAAGCAGGCAAGCAGTTGGGAGCCAGCAGTCCTGGCTTGTGAGAGGGATGTCTAACTGCCCTAAATGGGAATTGGGATATCCCTTAAGGGGTCCCAGATTGGAAAAGGTGCAGCCTGGGCTGAGGGACACCCCCCACCTGTGCACAAATGTTGTGCACCGGGCCTCTAGTATATATATATATATATATATATGTGTGTGTGTGTGTGTGTGTGTGTGTGTGTGTGTGTATATTTATTTATTTTTTATTATCTTTTTAATCTTCACTGAGCATATTTTTTTCCATTGATTTTTTTAGAGAGTGGGTGGGAGGGAGAAGGGGGAGGAGCTGAAGGACAGAAAGAGAAAAAGAGACAGACACAGAGAGATAAAGAGAAAGAGAGAGAGAGAGAAAGAGAGAGAGAGAGAAACATATTAATTGGTTGCCTCCTGCACACATCCCAACTAGGGCTGGGGATTGAGCCTGCAACCTACGTATGTGCTCTTGACTGGGAATCGAACATGTGACCCTTTGATTTGTGGGCTGATGCTCTAATTAATGATCAAAACCAGCTAGGGCTGAAAATCTATTTGAAAAAATGATGGAAAACTTCTGTAACTTGGTGAAGGAAATAGGCATACCAGTCCAGGAAGCACAAAGAGTCCTAAACAAGATGAACCTAAAGATGCCCACACCAAGACACATTGTAATTAAAAACAAATTCTTAACATCAAGAATAAAGCAGTTACCTGGAAGGGTGCTCCCATGAGACTGTTGATTTATCAACAGAAATTTTGAGACCAGAAGGGATTGGCATGAAATATTCCAATGGAAAGAAAAGACCTACAACCAAATTATTCTATCCAGCAAGGCCATTGTTTAGAATCTAAGAACAGAAAAGTTTTCCAGACAAGAAAAAGTTAAAGGAGTTCAGCACCACCAAATCAGTATTACAGTGAATGTTAAAGTATCTTCTTTAAAAAGAAAAAGATAAAAAAATAATAAAATGGCAATAATCTATCAATTACTTTAATTGCAAAATAAATTAAATGCTCCAATCAAAAGACATATGGTAGCCTAATGGATAACCACACAAGACCCTTACATATGCTGTGTGCAAGAGACTCATTTTAGATGAAAAGATGCATACAGAATGAAACTGGAGGAATGAACAAAGACATTTTATGAAAATGGAAATGGAAAAATAAAGGTGGAGTAGCAATAGTTGGACCAGACAATGGAGACTTTATTTTTATTTTTAATATATTTTTATTGATTTCAGAGATGAAGGAATAGGAGTAGATAGAAACACTGATGAGAGAGAATCATTGATTGGCTGCCTCCTGCATGCCTCACACTGGGGATCGAGCCTGCAACCTGGGCATGTGCCCTGACTGAGAATCAAACCAGGACCTCCTAGTTCATAGGCTGACGCTGAATTGCTGATCCAGCGTCAGCCTATGAACTAGGAGGTCCTGGTTTGATTGCCCATTTCTCCCTATTTTTTATGAAGACCTAATTCTTTTTTTGCATCTCTTTCTTTGGAGGGAAGTGTAAAAATAATTTTTAACAGACTCACAAAGCCCTTTATATTATACTAGAGGCCGGTGCACAAAATTTGTGCACAGGGGTGTGTGTGTCCCTCAGCCTAGTCTGCACCCTCTCTAATCTGAGAGATCGGGCCTAAACGAGCAGTCGGACATCCCTTTCACAATCCAGGACTACTGGCCTCCAACTGCTTGCCTGCCTGCCTTCCTGATTGCCCCTAACCACTTCTGCCTGCCAGCCAGCTTTATCATCCTCTAACCACTCTCCTGTAAGCCTGATTGATGTCTAACTGCTCCTTGCCAGCCTGTTTGCCCCTAAACTGCCCTTCCCTGCAGGCCTACTCACCCTCAACTTCCTTCCTCTGCTGGCCTGGTCACCCCTAACTGCCCTCTCCTGCAGGCTTGATTGCCCCCAACTGCCCTCTCTTGCAGGCCTGGTGCCTCTCAACTGCCCTCCCCTGATGGCCATCGTGTGTCCACATGGGGGCAGGATTTTTGACCACATGGGGAAAGCCATATTGTGTGTTGGAGTGATGGTCAATCTACATATTACTCTTTTATTAGATAGGATAGAAGCCTGGTGCACGGGTGGGGAGGTTTGCCCTGAAGGGTGTCCCAGATCAGGATGAGGGTTCCCTTGGGATGTGGGGAGGCCTGGGCAAGGGGCCTGTGGTGGTTTTCAGGCTGGCTATTCCCCGAGGTGAACTAAGTTGAAGGCCCTGGTATCTGGAATTTACCTTCTACATTTAAAACTTCTTAGCCTTGAGTGGAGCCAAGCCTGATGCTTGCTCTGTGGCTGCAGCCATTTTCATTGGGATTTGTTTATCTTCTATAATTGAAACTTTGTGGCCTTGAGCAGAAGCCAAGGCAGGGCAGGGCTGCCAAAGCTTGGCTTCCTACATTGCCAGGGGCAACTCAAGCCTCCTGCTTTCTCCAGCTCTGAGGCTGCCACCATTTTTGTTGGGATTTATTTATCTTCTATAATTGAAACTTAGTAGCCTTGAGTGGAAGCCGTGGCCCACCAGGGTGTGTGGAAAACTTGGCTCCTCCATTGCTGGGGAAACCCAAGCCTCTTGCTTTCTCTGTGGCTGCAGCCATCTTGGATGGGATTAATTTTCATACTCACTCCTGATTGGCTGTTGGGCGTGGCTTGTGGGTATAGGGGAAAGATGGTTAATTTGTATATTACTCTGTTATTAGATAGGATTATTATTTGCTGAAATTGTAAAAACAAAATCTAAAGAATGTAGATGCTTTAGCTCATTTCTCTTTGGAATCTAATGCTCTGTTCCCTGACTATTTCCTCAAGTTGTAATACAGAAATTTTATTATTTTTAATACATAAATGATTTACTAACATTTGATATATAAGCAGTGAATAAATTTTAATTTTTATGAAAATGATAAAATTATTATCACACAACTATCCAGGTGCTTTATGATACACCAAAAATAACTAGAATCTACTTACCTTAAAAAATTCCTTTTTCTCAACCATCTCATTACCGTCTGCATCCAGCATTTTAAAAGCAACATGAAACCCGGTATGGGGTTCTACAATCAAAAGAAAAATGGAAATGCAAATTATATGCAAATATAATAGATCTTTGAATTTGAAATCAGCCACCAGAAGCTACACCTGTAAGGATCTCTTCTTATGATAACAATTTTCAAAGGCTGATACATATTCATGGGTGTGCTGTTCGGCTATTAGGTGTGCTGCCCCCCAAAGAAAAAAATAATTTGAGAACTCTATATCTTTAGTTTTCCTATAGCCTTATAGGAGCACTAGTGGCCCAGTGCATGAAATTCATGCACAGGAGGTGGGTCCCTCAGCCCAACCTGCACCTTCTCCAATCTGGGAGCCCTCAGGGAGCCAGCTCTCTCCAATTCAGGAGCCCTGATAGCTTAGGCCCACTCCTTGTGGTTCTTTGCTCTCTGTGGGGCCTGGCTGCTCCGCACTCACTGCTGAGGCTCTCTGCAGCCCAGAGGACCTCCATGCCTGGGGCAGGATGCTTGCCTCATTGCCGCAGGACTGGGGGACTCCGGCTGGGCTGAGGGGACTGGGTGTCACCATCTTGTGGCTTTGGGCATTGCCATCTTTTGTGACAAGAGTTACAGTTAATTTGCATAGTACCCTTTTATTAGATAGAACTAGAGGCCCCTTGCAGGAAGATTCCTGCAATAGGGCTTCCTGCTGCGGTCTCTACTGCCCCGCCTGCTTCCCTCCCTTCTTTGAGGCCCCACTTGCTTGCTTCTCTGCAGCTTCGCTCCCTTCTGCAACAATTGGCTTCTACGCTGTCTTCAGTCTTTGCTCTGGCCTAGATATGCAAATTAACCACCATCTTCGTTGCATTAATTTGCATACTTGCCCTGATTGGCTAGCAGGTGTGGCTTGTGGATGTAGTGAAGGTACGGTCAATTTGAATGCTTCTCTTTTATTAGAGAAGATGGCTATTTTCATACTGATTTTTACTTTTATTTCCCTTTCTCAGAGTAGGGTTTTTAAAAAACTATTCTGAAATAATTTTATACTTACAGAAATGTAAAGATAGCATGGTGAGTTTCTAATATACCCTTGGATAACTTCCTCTCATGTCAACATCTTATATAAGCACAGTACTTTTATAAAAACTAAGAAATTAATACTGGTATAGCATTTTTTGTTGTTGTTAATCCTCAACTGAGGATATTTTTCTATTGATTTTTTTAGACAGTGGAAGGTAGGGGAGAAAGAGAGAGAAACATTGATATGAGATGGAGAAAACAGTTGGCTGCCTCCTGTACACATGCTGGCCAGGGCTGGAGAGCAAACCTGTAAACTGTGTATGTGCCCTTCTCTGGGACTCAAACTCTTGACCCTTTAGTGCATGGGTGGATGCTCTAACCACTCAGATATACTGGCAAGGGCTCAATAATGTTAATATATAAATATTTTTATTATTGCAGAGAGGAAAGGAGAGGGAAGGAGAAACATTGATGATGTGAGAGAATCACTGATCAGCTGCCTCCTGCACACCCCCTATTGGGGATGAAGCCCGCAATGTGGGCATATGCCCTAACAGGAAATGGAACTCTGACCTTGTTCAAATGATGACGCTCAACCACTGAGCCACACTGGCCAGGCCCAATCCTATCTAATAAAAGAATAATACGCAAATTTACTGTACCTCCGCCACACCCACAAGCCATGCCCACCAGCCATTCAGGAGTGAGTATGCAAATTAACCCAACCAAGATGGCTTTGGCTAGGGAATGAGCAGGAGGCTTGGGTTTTCCCCACGAAGAAGAAAGACAAGCTTCTGCACATGCTGGCTGGCCCTGAGCTCTGTTCAAGACAACAAAGTTTTAATTATAGAAGATAAATAAACCCCACGTCCAGGGCCTCCAGCTTGGGTCACTGGGGGGCGTGGCCACCTGCAAACCACCACAGGCCCCTCACCCAGGCCACTCCTTGCCCCAAGGGAACCCCCACACTGATCCGGGACACCCTTCTGGGCTAACCAGCTGGCCCCCATCCGTGCACCAGGCCTCTATCCTATCTAATAAAAGAATAACATACAGATTGACCATCACTGCAACACACAATATGGCTGCCTCCATGTGGTCAAAGATCCTGCCCCCATGTGGACACAAGATGATTGCACAAGATGGTCAATAGGGGAGAGCAGTTGGGAGGGTCCAAGCCTGCAAGGGGGGAAGTTGTGGGCAATCAGGCCAGCAGGGGAAGGCAGTTGGGAGGGACCAGACCTGCAAGAGAGGGTAGTTGGGAGTGATTAAGCATGCAAGGAAGGGCAGTTAGGGGTGACCAGGTCAGCAGAGGAGAGAAGTTGGGGGTGACTGGGCCTGCAGGGAAAGGCAGTTAGGGGCAATCAGGAAGGCAGGCAGGTGAGCAGCTGGGAGCCAACAGTCCTGGATTGTGAGAGGGATTCCCTTTCGAGCCGCAATGGCCCGGGACTGTTGGAAGTTAGCTCCAGGGTGTGTCTGGGCAATCCTGCCCAATCCTGCCCCGCTGGCCACCTTCTAATTAATTTCATTTCAATGTGCATGAATCTATGCATCAGGCCACTAGTATTTTTAATAACAAAACATAAATACTGCTGTGTCCAGGTAGCTCAGTTAGTTAGAACGTCATTGCAATAGGCCAAGGCTGCAAGTTCGATCTCTGGTCAGGACATTACAAGAATCCACCAATTAATGTATAAATAAATGGAACAACAAACTGATGTTTCTCTCTCTTTTCCTACACCAATAAATGAAAAATTAAAAAAAATACTAAACTTCCAAAACTCTGTTCATGAATAATAGAGAAATCTACGTGGTTGTTGAGGCAAAAAATGTGGGATACTTACTAGTGAGGATTGTAAGCAAGAAAAGATACTCAGTATATGAAATTAACCCTGGAAGAGATAATATACAAACGTTAGAAAATAATTTTTAGATGGTTTAGAAGTAATCATATATATACTACATGGAAATTTCATCTAATTAAAAACACATTTTCACTTTAAATTACCTCTCTTTAGTACAGTGGAAAACTTTTGTAATAGAGTTAAGTACATTATTAATACTTAAAAAGATAACTAGGTTTTTATCAGATTACTCTTACTATTATAGTAAGGAGGTGGAATGAATGCTGGTTGGGAAATACAGGTATCAATTAGTGGTTGTTTTAAAAAAATATATTTTTTTAATTTACTTCAGAGAGGAAGGGAGAGGGAGAGATAGAAATATCAGTGATGAGAGAGAATCATTGATTGGTGGCTTTCTGCATTCCCCCTAACTGGGATCTTCTGGTTCAATCACTGAGGCACACCTGGCCAGGACATTAGAGGTTTTATTTGCATGGATGGCACACTATTTAGTTTCTGCTCAACTTTTACTATTCATAACATTGCAAGTAAGCAAATTTATAAATTTAGTAGAACAACAGAGATTTGAATATACAAGGAGTAAGCTGCATTACTTAAAATGAATCAGTGAAATCCTCTGGGAAACTACTTCTTCCCCACTTTCCAACATGCAGTTGGAGTGGGATTGCTTATGATTTCCCCTTTGGAGGCAGAGGCTGACTGGTCTAGGCAGTCACAATACTTTGCAGAGCTGGCGCTGGGATGGCATATAGCTGTCCCAAGCTCACAAGCAGGATGCATCTGTCTGGCTGCAGGAGTTCACTCAGGGATGAACTGTGATCTGCACTGGGCCAAGCAGAGTGAGATTTCTGTAGAGAAGGCTGAATCATTCACTTCATTTTTCCTTCTGGGTTGTGATGATGTGAAATTTGTTTCACATAGGATGTGAGGTTATGGACAGAGCAATAGATCAGTGCTGAGAATGGAGCCAGTCTTTAATTGGTAGAACTGAAGGATATGAGTACTGGTGATGCCTGAGTACTGGATTAAATGAGGTCACAAAATAAACTTTCTTTCCTGCTTGAGTAAATGGCATTGGCTTTTTTTTTTTTATTTTTTTATTTTTATCCTCAACCAAGAATATTTTTCTATTGGTTTTTAGAGAGAGTGGAAGGGAGGAAGGAGGGAGAGAGAGAGAAACATCATGTGAAAGATACATTGATGTGCTTGCCAGGAAAAGAAATACAATAAATATAGAATCAATATCTTATAAATCATAGCTTTTTAATAAAATAAAAAGAATTTCCCTCTGGATCATGAGCTTGGCATAACAATTAAAAAACTTTATCATGGGAAACTTCAGTCATATACAAAAGTAGGGAGAATAATATGATGAAGAATTATATCAGCTTCAATAATATTAGCTCATGGCAGGTCTTATTTTATCTATACCTCTCAATCCCTTTCTCTCATTGTCTACTGGATTATTTAAAACAAAACCCATCTAGCATATTATTTCATAGTAGAAAAAGAATTGTCCCCCCTCACAAATGTATTTATCACACCTAAAAAATTATCAATAATTCCTTAATCTTATCAAATTAAAATCAGTGTCCAAACATCCCTGTTCCAGATTTTTTTTTAAGTATGCACATATCAGGATTCCAAGGAAGCTCTTGCATTGCACTTGATGGACAGATGTCAAGTCACTTACTTTTTTTTGTAAAATACAGTAAAACCTTGATATAACAGACTAATTTGGGCAAGGGGGGTTGTCTGTTAAAGCCAAAAGTCCATTATATAATAAAGTAGGTTTTCCAAATGCATATGTTAAAAAGAAAAGTTAATTTACCAGTTTTTACTTACATAGACATGTTTGTGTAATTAAAATTAAGTATGTGTGAAAAGTTTAATTTCACAGAAAAGTTTTCTATATGTATTACTATAATTTTAAATTTATACTGAGTAAGTCTAGTAAATGCATGCACTCACCCACCCACCAAGAGTAAACAAATGCACAACCTTGGCATATAAGGGACCGCTCTAATCAACTGAGCTACATGGCCAGGGGCAAGAATTACATCCCTTTTTAAGGTGCAATAATATCCCACTGTATGGATGCACCAGTTTCCATCATCTGTTTCCACCCTTCAGCTACTGTGACTAATGCCACTACAAACACTAGTGTACTAATATATGTTTGAATCTCTGGTTTTAATTTTTTGGTATATACTCAGAAGTGGAACTGCTGGATCAAATGGTCATTTTATGTTTAATTTTTAATTTTCTGAGGAACCTCTACACTGTTTACACAGTTGGCTGCCTCACCAGCAATGAGCAAGGATTAAAATTCCTCCACATCCTGGCCGGCATTTATTTTCATATTTTTCTTGATAATAATGGGTGTGAAGTGGCATCTCCTTGTAGTTTATTTGCATTTCCCTAATGATTAGTTATCCTGAGCATACCTTCATGTGCAAATTGGCCATTTGTGTATTTTTGTATGAGAAACTTCACTTTGCCCACTTCTAAAATTGTTTTTGTAATCCTCACCTCAGGATATTTTTTTCCATTGATTTTTAAAAAATTTAATAAACATTTATTGTTCAGATTATTACAATTATTCCTCTCCTCCTGCGCCCCCTTCCCCCCCCACAGATCCCCTCCACCTGGTTCCCACCCCACCTTCTGCTTACCTCTCCCCCACAGTCCTCATCCATAGGTGTACAATTTTTGTCCAGTCTCTTTCTGCACTCCCCACACTCCTTTCCCCCTCAGAATTTTCAGTCTACTCCCTTTCTATGCCCCTGATTCTATTATATTCACCAGTTTATTATGTTCATCAGATTTTTTATTCACTTGACTTTTAGATTCACTTGTTGATAGATATGTATTTGTTGTTCATAATTTTTATCTTTACCTTCTTCTTTTCCTTCTCCTTCTTCTTCTTCAATACCTTTCAGCATTTCGTACAATATTGGTTTGGTGTTGATGAACTTCTTTAGCTTTTTCTTATTTGTGAAGCTCTCTATCTGACCTTCAATTCTGAATGATAGCTTTGCTGGGTAGAGTAATCTTGGTTGTAGGTTCTTGTTGCTCATCACTTTGAATATTTCTTGCCACTCCCTTCTGGCCTGCATAGTTTCTGTTGAGAAATCTGCTGACAATAGTATGGGTGCTCCCTTGTAGGTAATTAACTGTTTTTCTCTTACTGCTTTTAACATTCTCTGTCTTTTGCCCTTGACATTTTAATTATGATGTGTCTTGGTGTGGTCCTCTTTGGATTCCTTTTGTTTGAGGTTCTGTGCATTTCTTGGACTTGTAAGTTTATTTCTTTCACCAGGTGGGGGAGTTTTCAGTCATTATTTCAGGTTTTTAGTATCTTGCTCTCTTCTTCTGGCACTCCTATAATTCTGATGTTGGTTTGCTTGAAGCTGTCCCAAAGGCTTCTTACGCTATCTTCAAATTTTTGGATCCTTTTTTCTTTAAGTTTTCCAGTTGAGAGTTTCTTGCTTCTTGGTATTTCAAATCTTTGACTTCATTCTAGTGTGCTATTGGGTCTCTGTATAATATTTTTTATTTCAGTCAATGTACGTTTAATTTCTAGTTGGTCCTTTTTCATATCCTTGAGGGTTTGGCTAAATTTATCAGCCCTTTATAGGAAATTCTTAAAAAACCTTATAACTGTGGTTTTGAACTCATTTGTTTTCTTTCATTTCTTTCGTTTGTGATCTGTTTCTTGTCTCTGCATTTTTACTGCTTCCCTGAGTTGGTAGGGTAGCTTTGTATGTTAAGTGTCCTTTATGGCCCAGATGCTTGGCCTCCACAGTTACCTCAGGTGGACACTCGTGGTGCATCCTTTGTGGACAGTCTTTTTTAAAAAAAATATATTTTATTGATTTTGTACAGAGAGGAAGGGAGAGAGATAGAGAGTTAGAAACATCAATGAGAGAGAGTCATTGATCAGCTGCCTCTTGCACACCCCCTACCGGGGATATGCCCGCAACCAAGGTACATGCCCTTGACTGGAATCGAACCCGGGACCCTTCAGTCCCTAAGCCGACGCTCTATCCATTGAGCCAAACTGGTCTCAGCTGTGTGTACAGTCTTGTTGTACTTAAGTCTTGATTGTTGGTGGTATCACTGGGAAGAATTGACCTCCAGCCAATTGGCTGTGAGGATTAGCTGTGTCTACACCGGGAGAACTTCCTTCAGCCTTTTGCAGATCCTCTGATTCTCTGTTTGCTTTCCCCTTTCCTTCTATTAATAGTTGTAGAATTTCTACTAAGCCAGCTTTCCTGGTTCTAGATGATCTTCATTTTGTCTTTTAGTTATAGTTTTGAAATTGTTGTGTGAGGCAGCAGTTTAGGTGTTTACCTATGCTGCCATCTTGGTTTCTCAATATAACATCAGTGTTGTCTAGTGGTTAGAGTGTTCGCCCATAGATTTGACCTACTGGGCTGCAGGTTTGATCCCTGGTGGCCCCATTTTTTTTTTTTTTTTTTTTTTTTTTTTTTTTTTTTTTTTTTTTTTTTTTTTTTCAGAGAGAGTGGAAGGGAAGGAGGGAGGAAGAGAGAAACACTGATGTGAAAGAGAAACATTGACCAATTGGTTCCCACACATGTCCTGGCTGAGGTTAGGGATTGAACCTGCAAGCCAGGTATGTGCCCTTGACTTAGAATCGAACTTCATTGTACAGGCATTTGTTCACTCTAACCACTTGAGACACACCATCCTGGGCTAATTTTTTTTTTTTTTTTTTTATAGGTTGAGTTATAGTTCTTTTCTAAAAAAATTTAAGTATGTTTTTATTGATTTCAAAGAGAAGAAAGGAGAGGAAGACAGAAGTATCTATGAGAGAGAAATGTCCATCACTTGCCTCCTGCATGCCTCTTGCTGGGGTAACTGGGGATTGAGCCTGCAAAAACAGGCTTGTGCCCTGACTAGCAATCCAACAGATCAGAAATCCAACTAGGACCTCCTCAATCAACTAAGCAACACTGGCTGGACTCTAGGAGTTCCTTACATGTCTTGACTACTAGAAGAGATGATTAAGTTTGTTATTCTGCTTCTCTGGGAATATTTAAAAATTAAAATAATTATAAAATATGAATTGCCATTGAATGCAGTTTTGAGAATCCTGTTCCCCAAAGAGAAATGACCACATCATAAGAATATATTTGTATCTTACACTATGTCATATAATTTATATTCAGTATATCTTTGAGAATGGTACATAGAGAATTCTGCTTGGGTTTAAAAAATATATAGTAACTGTGACTTACAATTTTCTTTTTTATAATGCATAATCAGTAAAATTACTTTTTTTATTTCAAGAATATATTACCTTTTGCTAGTGGTAAGAAAGTGAAAACTTTTAATTCTTTTATGTGGATTCTCTTTGAGGCCTTCACTTGTTAATTTAGATCAGAAATTATATGGCATGCAAGCAGTATAAAGCCTGAGGAATCATTTAGTCTGGCCTTGCCAAGACATTAGGGGTGAGTTAATAAAATGTTTGACCAAATATAGCAGGCTAATTTTTAAACTGATAATTCTTGTATGGCCCGAGAATGATGTTATAAATATCCAAATGGACCTTGGCAGAAAAAAAGTCGCCCCCCCCCCAACTTCCTTTGGATATTCTGCCTTGCTCCTCCTTTCTAGGCTTTAATAAAAATCGCTTGAATAATTTATCTGTGACTGCTCTGAATATGATAAAGTTACTTACTATCTAATGAGTATTTTATTACAATCTAAAAACACCTATTGACCTATTATATGCCCTTAAGAGTCTGTAGATGCAAGTGGCAAACCATGCGTGACCAACTTTAAAATCACTTTTCATGAGAATTTTCAGCTGAAAATATTCAAGAACATTTAAACTGTATATTTATTTTTATAATATTCATTGCAAGTTGATTTAAAAAAATATATTTTATTGATTTTTTACGGAGAGAAGGAAAGAGAGATAGAGAGCTAGAAATGTCGATGAGAGAGACACATCGACCAGCTGCCTCTTGCACACCCCCTACCGGGGATGTGCCCGCAACCAATGTACATGCCCTTGACCGGAATCGAACCTGGGACCTTTCAGTCCGCAGAACGATGCTCTACCACTGAGCCAAACTGGTTTTGGCACAAGTTGATTTTTTAAATTAAATTCAAAATATCGTGGCACATGGGGATGGTTTCTGTTTTAAATGTGTGGTAGTTAACTGGTTAAATAATATGGTATGTATTATAACATTCTCTTTGTAGACTCTCTACTGTATATTCTCTAACACACAACCACAAGCCTCATACCATAATTCTTTAATAATGCTTTGGTTAATAAAAATATATAAGTAGTGCCTGCTGGTGTGACTCAGTGCTTGAGTGTTGACCCATGAACCAAAAGGTCACAGTTTGATTCCGGTCAGGGCACATGCACAGGTTTCGGGCTCAATCCCCAGTAGGGGGTATGCAGAAGGCAGCAGATCAATGATTCTTTCATCACTGATGTTTCTATCTCTCTTTTTCTGCCATCTTCTCTCTGAAATCAATAAAAACATATTTTAAAACAAACACATAAGCAGAAAGTTAACAACAAATCAAAATTACCTTTATCGCCAAGGTCTCTAAAAAAGGTTGATCCACAATGAGTTGTTTGGATTGCTGCCAGTATATCCTCAATATCCTTTGAATATACACATAGTAAAATCTTTTAATTTAACTTATAAAAGTGCATTTCCTATCATAAAAAAAAGAACGAACTCCTACAAACACACGGCTTACCTTTTTTGTCAGTCTCTTGACTGAAGTTTTACCTATAGCAAAGAAGAAACATTACTTAGTAGTTATATTCCTTGGAAAACTCAATTTCCATTAAGGAAAAAATGATTTAAAAGACAAAACAATTATTTGTTAAAAAAAAGTAAGAGTTGACAATTTAAGCTAAAATCTTTAAATAAAAATTATGAACCAGAGAATTCTAAGTCTAAATACAAAGACACTGTAGGTTCTTTGTAAGACCAGTTTTCAATTTCACTCACCCCATCTCAAAAACATGTATAATCGGCAGATAATATCCTATTATTTTCAGGTGTACATAACAGTGATTTGATACTTACCTACATTATGAAGTGATCAGAACAATAAATCTAGTTATCATATGCCACTACACAGTTATTAAAATAATAGAGGCCTGATGCACGAAGATTCGTGCAAGAATAGGTCTTCCTTCCCCTGGCTGCTGGCACCAGCTTCCTCCAGCACCTGTACTCAGGCCTTTGCTTTAGCTGCCACCTTCTACCTTCCCCTGGCTGGAGTCACCTTCTGCTTTCATTTCAGCCCTGCTGCCCTCCTGTAGCGCCCTCCACCCTCACTCCCCCATTGCAGGTGTCCCAGCCCTCGCCGGCTGCTCCTTGCCTGTGTTGTTGCCATAGTGACAAGTGTCCCAGCCTGGCTGCTGCCATCTTTGTTGTGCCAATTTGCATATTCTCTCCTTATTGGCTGTGGGTGCCGCCAACTTTGTTGCAGAGTGATGGTCAATTTGCATATTCAATCTTTATTAGATAGGATTATTGACTATATTCTTTCTTTCTTTTTTTTTTTATTTCTTAAGCCTCAACTGAGTTTATTTTTTTCTTGATTTTTAGAGAAAGTGAAAGAAAGGGAGGGAGGGGGAGCACAAAAGAGAAAAACATCAATGAGAGAGACACATTGATTGGTTACTTCTCACACACACCCCGACCAGGGCCAAGATGAAACCTGCAACCCAGGCACATGCCCTTGACCAGGAAACAAACCGAAGACCTTCTGGTTCTTGGGTTGATGCTATAACTACTGAGCCACATCAGCTAGGGCTTAACTATATTCTTGATGCTGTATTTTACACCCCTGTTACCTCTTAATCCCATTTCAACAGCCCCTCAATCTCTCCCCCCTTTGGAAACCACCAGTTTCCTGTATCTATGAATCTGTTTCTGCTTTGTTTTATAGATTATTAATGTAAGTGAAATAATCTGATATTTATCTTTATCTGATTTATTTCACTTAGCATACTACCCTTCTGGTCCATATATGACATATAAAATATTACAAGTATCTTTGACTTAGCTTAGTTATCTCCATCATAAATTCTTATCAAACATAATTTTGTTCACATAATTATTAAAAATCTGTCTCTTTTTGTTTTCACTGATTAAAAAAATACACCTGCATGTTTTAGAAAGCTACCTTTTTGAACCCTGAAAAGTTCTCTTTAGAGGTCTGCAGTCAAATTAAAAAAAGCTAGCAAATAGGACTTCCATTCTAATGTGCTTTTACTTTCAATAAATTCCTATTGGATAACAGATTTAAAATTCTTTGAGGTTTTGAGCCATTTTTCCTATGGCTTACATCACTTACCTCTTACTATAATTCTAAAGCTATGACATTGCTTCTTTTGTGGTTAGCCATTTTATACAGCTAGAAAAATGTTGGAAAAAGTGTCCTTTAATTTCTTACATAAGTCATGTGTATGCACTACAAACTTTCCTTTTTGCTCTCAAAATATCTTCCGTTCCATTTATTTCTATGCCTGTTCTCGCACCAGTACTAGGCTGTTTTGATTATAGTGGCCTTGTAGTATAACTTGATATCTGGTATTGTGATCCCTTTGTGGTTAAGCATTGACTAGGAAGTCATGGTTGGAGTTCTGGTCAGGGCACATGTCCAGGTTGCAGACTTGATCTCCAGTAGGGGACATGAAAAAGGCAAGTGATCAAAGATTCTCTCTCATCACTGATTTCTGTCTCTGAAATCAATAAAAATATATTAAAAAAAGAAAAGAAAAATCAAGTGACAAGTTAAAATGAATACTTTATATGCTTTTCTGTATTCTGAATGCTTAATTGGGGCTTTAAACCTCGTGGGAATAAATTCTATTAGATGTTAGCAAATTTTCAATATTTTAATTTTGCATTATGGATATAAACAATTGTGAATATGATTAGTTTTTAGAAACATCTATGACCATGTTTGTAAGCTTAGGTGTTACAGTTTGGAATGATTTTTATCCACTGATACACTATTACATGTTATCACAATAACAAAGAACTCTAGATTCTAATATTAGGTGCTATTCCATGAGATCATCACCCAAGTAAATCTAAGTGGCCGTATGAATGTGTATGTAGAATACATAGTAATTTGATGCTGATAACAAACCCCAGAAAAATGTGTATATAGTAGACGTATTCCCCTATCTTTGCATTTTCTATTAACTTACTGTATTTTCCGGCGTAAAGACAACCCCCTAATTTTACAGTTAAAACATAGGTTTAGCCAAAACCGGTTTGCCTCAGTGGTGGAGCGTTGGTCTGCGGACTGAAAGGTCCCAGGTTTGATTCCAGTTGGGGGCATGTAGTTGGTTGCGGGCACATCCCCGGTAGGGGGTGTGCAAGAGGCAGCTGGTTGGAGTTTCTCTCTCATTGACATTTCTAGCTCTCTCTCTCCTTTCCTCTCTGTAAAAAAATCAATAAAAATATATTTAAAAAAAAAAACGAAACAAAAACAAACAAACATAGGTTTAGGCCTATATTCGCTGTATAAGACTACACCCCACTTCAAAGAAAAGACTTACTTTGCTGTCAAGATCTGCAGGTAATTTTTGTGCAATTTTGGTCTTTTGCCCCCAATTTTCGGTTGACTTTTTTTCGTTTCAGAAGTTGTCTTATACGCCGGAAAATACGGGTAAGAAACTGACCATGCCCTGGCTGGTGTCCATAGTGGTTGGAGCATTTGGTCCATGCACAAAGAGTCAAGGATTCAATTCCTGACTGGGACACATTCCTAGGTTTCAGGACCCACCCCACATCCCATTGGGGTGCGTGCTGGAGGCAATAAGTTGATCTTTCTTTCTCCTCTCACTCCCTTCCACTCTCTCTGAAAAACAATGGGAAAAAAAAAAAAATCCTCATGTGAAGCTTCACAACAAAAATCCCAAAACAAAAGCAAATAAAAAACTGGCCATGATTCACATGCTTTTCTTAAACTTATGTCACAAATTATTCATTACCATATGCAATTTCATTTTTAGGCAGTTTAGGTTAGTGTTATCAGTTTTTAAAAAATATTTATTGTTAAAAGTCTTACATATGTCCCCTCTTCATCCCATTTCTAGCATATCCCCAAATCCTGCCCCTAGCTTTCATCACAATGTTGTCGGGGCCCATGGGTTATGCACATATGTATACAAGTTCTTTAGTTGATCTCTTCTGACCCACCCACAGTCCTCCAGCCTTCACAATGAGATTCGACAGTCTATTCTGTGATTGTCTCACAATCTATTTTGTTCATTAGACTCCACATATGAGTGAGATCATGTGATACATGTCTTTCTCTGACTAGTTTATTTCACTATCTATAATACTCTCCAGGTCCCTCCGCATTGTCTCAAAGAATAAAAGATCCTTTTTTTCCTACTACTGCAGAGTATTCCACTGTGTAAATGAACCACAGCTTTTTTTTAAATCCACTTATCTACTAATGGGCACTTGGGCTGTTTCCAGATTTTAGCTATTGTAAATAGCGCTGCTATGAATATAGGGGTGAAACATTCCTTCTGATTGGTGTTTTGGGTTTCTTAGGATATATTCCTAGAAGTGGGATCACTGGGTCAACTGGCAATTTCTTTGTTAATTTCTTTAGGAAACTCCATACTGTTTTCCTTAATGGTTGTACTAGTCTGAATTCCCACCAGCAGTGTACTAAAAGTTCCCATTTCTCCGCATCTTCACCAGCACTTGTCATTTGTTAATTTGTGGATGGTCACCATTCTGACAAGTATTTTTAAAAAAATATATTTTATTGATTTTTTACAGAAAGGAAGGGAGAGGATAGAGTTACAAACACCGATGAGAGAGGAACATCTATCAGCTGCCTTCTGCACACCTCCTACTGGGGATGTGTCTGCAACCAAGGTACAAGAATCAACCTGGGTCCTTATCCATTGAGCCAAACTGGATAGGGCCATTCTGACAAGTACTAAGTGATACTTCATTGTCGTTTTAATTTGTATCTCTCTTATGATCAGTGGCCTTGAACATTTTTTCATGTCTCCTGGCCACCTATCTGTCTACTTTGGAGAAGTGTTTACTTAGGTTCTTTGCTCATATATATATTTTTAAATTGGATTGTTGTCTTCTTTTTGTAAGTTGTAGGAGTTCCCTAAATATTTTGGAGATTAACCCTTTATTGAATGCATCATTACCAAATATGTTCTCTCATACAGTGCTCTCTTTTCATTTTGTTTGATGGTTTCTTTTGCTGAGCAGCCTTTTATTTTGATTTAGTTCCATTTGCTTATTTTCTTATTAGTTTCCTTTGCCCTAGCAAATGTATTTGTAAACATACTGCTATGAGAGATGTCTGAGATTTTGCTGCCTATGGTTTATTCAAGGATTTTTAAAAAAATATATATTTTATTGATTTTTGTACAGATAGGAAGGGAGAGAGATAGAGAGTTAGAAACATTGATGAGAGAGAGTCATCGATCAGCTGCTGCTTGCACACCCCCTACTGGGGATATGCCCGTAACCAAGGTACATGCCCTTGACTGGAATCGAACCCAGGACCCTTCAGTCTCCAATCCGATGCTCTACCCATTGAGCCAAACTGATTTCGGCTCTTCAAGGATTTTTAATAGTTTCCTGACTTATATTAGTCTTTTATCCATTTTGAGCTTATTGTTGTGCATGATATAAGTTGGTGGTCTAGTTTCATTTTTTTTTCTTTGCATGTATCTGTCCAATTTTCCCAACACCATTTATTAAAAAGACTGTCT